TCCTGTATTGCATCTCAAAGATCATCATCCCCTACCTCGGGGTGAATCCCCGAAATTGATCCCCCACCACTAGGCTGCTGCTTTTATTTGTTGGGGTGGGCGAGAAAGGGAGGTGACGGGGCCAATACGAGGCCGATCAAAAGAGAGCTTCTCCCCAGTGTCCCGAGGACAGTTGTGTACAATGGAGTAGGCGGCTCTTTTCCGCTTAGGGCACCAACAGCCCGGTTAAAGGGGGGGATCAGAAAGGATAGAATGGGAGGAGAGGGGGTCAGTTGTCGTCTCTAGCTGGCGATCTTCCCCCTTGCCGGGCCACCGGGCCGGTGGAAATATCGATGCGTGCAAAAAAAGCCGCCGATTTTCGCCTAAGATTCTCTCGGACCAGCCGCATCTCGGGCAGCCTGAGCTTAAGCCCGGAAGCCTAAGCCTAAGCCTAAGCCTAAGCCTCAGCCTAAGCCTAAGCCTAAGCCTAAGCCTAAGCCGAAGCCTAAGCCTAGGCCTAAGTCTAAACCTAAGCTAAGCTTGCCCAATTTTAACTCCACCACTCTCTCCATCTATTGCTAACCAAGCGTGAAAAATGGAAACTTGCCTCGAGTCGAGTGAGCGAACCCAAGTCGGCGACCGACATGGCGCCGAAGGGGGCGCCGAAAGCCGACACAGATGTGCTCTGGAAAAGCGGGGGTCATTGTTTCGGAGTCTACATGACGCCTTCGTCTTGTACAGGATCCACACAAAATAACCAAGATCGCTGCGAAAAAATTCAGTGGTTCTTGCGCACTATCGGGGGGGTGCTGAACTATTTGCATACGCCTAGAAACGCCTAGTAACTTAAGGGAAAGTGTTTTAATAGCATTTTCAGTAATCTATAACTATATTTCAGCTAAAAAATTATCGAAAAAAAACCTTAAAAAGTCAAAATTTTGAAAAATTGGCCATTTTCGGGCGAATATTCGATATTTTGAGGTTTTTTAATGCAAATTTGTAAGGTTTTTGACGTTTAGGAATTTTAAAAAACCATTTAGAAACACTTCCACTATTTATATTTGAAAAATTGATTCTAAGAAAAGTTGCCCCCCGATAATGGGAAAGAACCGAAAGGAAAGGTCAGCCTGTACCTACCTTATAGACGACGTTCGTCTGAGCCGATGATGGGCTCCGGTAGAGGTTGGACATGGCGGCTCCGGTGACCCTGGCGTTTCAGGTAAAGCAAGTCGCTGGTTTTGTTCGAGAGCGAGAGGTATATGAATAAAGGCTTCGGCACACACGCACACACCCACACCGGCCGGTCGTCGGTCGTCGTAGAGGCTCACGCGGCGAGCTCTACAAGTCGCGTGAATGGACGAATGGCACGGCACGGGAAAAGCATGGATGTGGAGGGAAAAATGTCAAAATACCGACATCAAAATCCCAACATTAAAAATCCCGACAGCCAAAATCTCGACATCAAAATCCCGACAGCCATATTCCCGACGTTGAAAATCCCAACATCCAAAAACCCAAGAGCGATAATGCCGACAACCTAATCCCGAAAGCCAAAATTTCGACAGCCAGAAACCCCAGATTTTAAAACCATTTATGGGTAAACGACCGGATATATCACATTTTTTGCTGTCGGGATTCTGAATGTCGGTATTTTGGCTGTCGGCATTATGGCCAGAATTCGTGTGGAGGGTGTGGGGCGAAAAGCAACAGCACAGAATAGACAGGACCCTTTGTCAATAGGTCTATGCAGTAGCTTCCGGGTTTTAACTAATTAAAGGGATCAGGAAAGCGGAGATTGTGGCAAAGCAGGAGGTAGCAGAGAAGATTTATGCTAATTTAGAACTCAATCCGGTATTATGCTAATTTTTCCCGGGCCTTCCTGATCCCTTTAACTCCCCCCAGTTTACTTATAACATACAACACTTTTTATTTCGGAGTAAATAGTTTGGCAAATTTTGAAACACGGCTCAGAATCAGTACAAAATAGGGGGTCGCGCGCAGAAATTCGATTCTCACTGAAAAATTTTTCCTTGTGATAAAAAGGGTCTTTCCGGGAACATTTCTTCGGGATTGTGGTTTTCGAGGTGTCAACCAGTAAAAAGGTCCAACTAGCCAATCAAAAAGCAATCAATAAACTGTAACTTTAGGTAACGCACTCCAAGAAGAAAAGCCGGAATCGATTGATGGATGTGCTGAAGCCGGCAATCCTAGGACCACCACGGGCCTCTCCATCGCAGCTGGCTAGAGTGGGCAAACACGCTCAAAAAATGCTGTGATCCCGCGCCAATTTCTTGGGATCGTGGCGCGTCTCCGAACGGCGTGTTCGGGGCAAGCGACACGTTTCAAAGCGGATTAAAGGGATCAGGAATGTCCAGTAGATCAGTGGTCATCTGTAATTGGCAACGAGCAAACCGGAAATTTTAATACAAAAAACGTGCAGAGAGTGGGGCTAGGCAGAAGGGGAAGGGAAGGTGCTAATTTTAGATCTAAAACCCGTCTTCTTCTAATTTTTCCTGGGCCTTCCTGATTGATCCCTTTAAGACCCAATGAAGCGTCAGAATTATCGACGTTGGGAAGCCCCTAGGCTCTGGTCGGCTAGCCAAGCGCCGCGTCTATGCACGGCCGCAAATGGAACGTCGGGAACTGTCATTAGCGCGCTTCAGAATTTTCCTAAAAACACGAACAATGACCGACGATCAGCAACCTAAAATAAAAAGCGGAACGCAGAACAGACAGACAGACAGTTCTAATCCGAAGCTTCTACTAGTTGTGGATCGCGTTAAGAGTTTATTTACCCCCCCAACTTTTGAAGGGTCTCAAATTTTGATATTTTCGCCATTTTTGTCGGTTTTTTTTGCAACGCCATTCGATAGAGCGTCAAAAAATATACCCTGAATTTTGATCCTAGCCTAAAATAATGCAAAAATTGTTATAGCCCGAACCATCCGGTTGGGGGGTAAAGAAAACCGTAGCCTGGACCGCCCCAATCGGTAAAAACTCTAAATTGGCTAAAACAAGCCCAAAATAGCGGGATCTGGTTAGTTTTGCATTGTCCAGTAGGAGTGCCTTAAAATTAAGGGAGCCCGATTACACCACGCTCAAATCCTAAATGCCTGCGGCGAAGGCGCGACAAAACGTTGCTGACCCCGAAACAACCTCGCATGCACATGCTAAGCAAACAATCTCTCGCCGGCGGTACGTCGATTGCGCGAAAATTAAGGCCCCGGGATGTTGGGGAGGGGGGAGGGAAGGGATGAGACCAAACAGATATACGGTAGGGAGAGGAAAGGGATGGCATGAGGTGGACGGACGGACAAAGCCCCCCCTATCCACCCAAGAAGAAGCAGCAGCCCCCGGCTTGCCCCCCTCCATCCGCTGTAACAGCAACCCCCGCGTCGAGGACCAGGGGCAGGGCGGCGCCTCGGCTGCTCTATCTCTAGCCTTCTCTATCTCTCTCTCTCTCCCTCTCTCACTCTCTCTCTCCCTCTCTCTCTCTCATCCATTTAATCTTTCTCCTACCCACAACGCTTGGGCTGGCCTCGAAAAAGCGTCTCGCCACGTTCAGGTGCCCACACCGGGCCAACCCGGGGCGTTTGATCCGAGCTCTGGAGGTGAGGAGGCGATACGAGGGATATCGAAATAGCGCTATGAATTCCAGCCAAAATCCCGACAGCAAAAACCCCGACAGCCGAAATGTGATATTTCTGGTCTTTTTACCGATAAATGGCTTTAAAATATGGGTTTTTTGGCTGTCGGGATTTCGGCTGTCGGATTGTGATGGTTGTCGGTATTTCGAATGTCGGGTGGGGATTTACCAAATTTCCTCGTAGATTTTTTGAATATCTCGTTATTTTTGGGGATGACCTTTCTAAAAATATTTTGCATCAAAAAATAAATTGAAAATCATAAATCTAGGGCAGAAAACAATAATTTAAGAATGTTATAACAAAAGCAATAACAGCCCTGAAAATCGGGTTGTTCAGCTATTTTTCGGGATTTTCGATATTTTTCGATCTATCGTTTCCCCCTTTTTTGGAAAGCCCTATCCCGACGTAATCGTAAAGCACCGAGGGCCCAGGGCGAAGAAGCCACGGAAAGCCAACTGTTGCTCGCCCAGCCACCCCACTTCATGAAACGACAAGCCCGGTAGAGGATTGCAAAACCCGGCGGTTCTTTCGCATTATCGGGGGGACCAAAATTTTTTGTATAAGCCTAGAAATGTTTATTATTTATAGAAATTGTTTTACTATCGTATTTAGTAATCGATAACTATATTTCAGCTAGAAAAACTATCTAAAAGTTTTTAAATGTTGAAAAAGCCGCAATTTTCGTTCAAAAATCGGCATTTTGGTCGAAAATGATATATTTTTGATGTTTTTTTTAATACATTTGGTAGAGTTTGGACGTTTAAGAATAGTGAAATCAACTTATCTTTTAACCTCCACAATTTTTTTGCGCAAAAGTTACCCTGTTTTTTCACTGGGTCGCCACGGTCTCTGCGTTGATCGTTTTGCATCAATTTTTATATTCTAAATATGCATTAACAAGAAGTGTGTTTTGCCAAGGATTCAGGAAATGGAGCCGGACCCGTAGAATAATAGATAAATGGTACGATAATAACTGGGCATATAACAAGGGAGCGATGACATGAAATGTCTCTGATGGGATTGAAAGAGCATGTCATTATGGACGAAGAAAAACGGTTCTGGTTTGTTAGCGGGGGGGGGTTTAGAAGTCCGTGGAAGTCTTTTTTTGTCAATATCTTCTCTTATCTTAAATTAAATTATTTTGGGCTTAAGTGCAGTTTACCCCCCCCAGTCGACCTCCACCTACCGTATCTCGGCTCCCTGTTCATCTACAGGTGTGTAAAACATAGTATAGTATACTCGCCAGAGCAAGACAAACATTGACCCCCCCCGCTAAGGAACCAGAATCGAAAAACAACAAAAACGAGGCAATACTGACTTTAATGCCTAAAAAATGGGCGGATGAGAGCAAGATCAGCCAGCTCACAGCGGCTAGTTGATAAAATAAGGATGAGTTAGCTTGTCGAGTGGCACTCCCCGCAGATATTCGACCTGAAATTGTGAAAGATTAAAGGAACGGTTTCTTTTGCATTATCGGGGGGCACACTTATTTTTTAGGATCTAATTTTTCGAAATATAAATAGTGGTAGTGTTTCTAGATGGTTATTTACTATTCTTAAACGTCAAAACTTTACAAATGTGTATTAAAAATGATGGAAATATCGATTTTTCGACAAAAAATGGCCGATTTTTTACCAAAATTACGACTTTTTAAAAGTTTTTAGATAGTTTTTCGGGTTGAAATATAGTCATAGGTTACTAAAAATACTATAAAACAATTTATATTAAGTTATAAGGCATTTCTAGACTCATACAAAAAAATTTGCCCTTCCCCCGATAATGCCAAAGAACCGACAACGGGCATGGGCTTAGCGGCACGCTGGTGTTGCACAACGCGGCGATGAGCTTGAGCCTCATCCGCGGAGAAAATCTTGAACTAACCTGGGGAAGCTCCGAGTATCTGGACGCATTAAACGGCCGCGGCAAATACGTCCTTTTTTGGTGTTCCTAAAGCGGTACTCCACGACGACGAGACGCCTTTTTCACCTTCAGCAAACAGAAGAAGGTGGCCGGCTCGTAATCGATGTATAGCTTGTGTGCCACCAGTTCCGGGCTGAAATTGCCGTTGAGCATCCCTTTGAACGCTACCGGTTTATCAAATTCTGCAAATCGCGAACGCTGAAGATGCACGATGAGGCGGAAAGGCGCCCTGAAACTCCAGAATTTCCTGAAAAACCAATATCTCGGAAATCAGAATCTCGAAAGTTCAGAATCTCGAGAATCAGCCAGTCCCCCTGGCGCACCGTGGCATCCGGCATGGCCCCAGATTTGGTACCGCGAGACGTAGTAGCGATTCGGGGTGTCAAAACTGGCCGTCGGGTAGAATTCGCCGCGGATGTGCGCCTCTAAAACACCATGTCGCCATTTCATAATGCCGAATTTTCCGAATGCCGAAATTTATTGTCGAAATTTCAAAGTGTCGAAAACCGTAATGTCGAAATCTCATAATGTCGAAATTTATACAAGCTAATTTTCCCGGAAAACTCCCCAGAACCCAAAAGCAGAAAGCAAAAAATTCGACATTCTGACATTTCGACTCTCTGAAATTTCGACAATATGAAATTCGACATTACGAACTTTAACATTGTGATTTTCGGCGTTATAAAAGCTAATCCATATTCGCTTACTCTCCGAGCTGTTTTCGGCCTCCCGGAGTAGGCGTTGGTGAGCCTCGGCGGCGGCGCGCTTCAGCCCCAAGAAGTCGGACGATGGGATGCTGCCGCGATACGGCAGAACTAAGTGTAAGCCATGCATTACAGTGTGTTCCCGATGTACCTTTTGGGTTTCCACCAAGCGTCGCCCACAACGCCTCATCGGGAATGGAAGTTCCGTTCAGAAAGCGAAGGTATTTGGCGACCTGAAAATTTATATTAGGGGTCAGGCTTAGCTTGGCTTTGCCTAGGCTTGGCTTAGACTAAACTCAGACTTTGGTTTAGGCTTAGCTTAAGCTTAGGCTTGGGTTTGGCTTAGCTTACAATTAGGCTTGAGCTGCAGCCAACCCGAAACCCAAAAATGTGATTTTTCCGCGCGTTGTACACAAAAATGGTTTTAAAACCTGGGGTTTCTGGCTGACGGGATTTTTGAACGTTGGGATTTTTGAATGTCGGGATTTCGGCTTATCCATAAGAATTCACCAACCTTGCGGTTCGCCATAAATGCGTCGGCGGCGGCCCTCGGAATCAGCGCTGACAATGACGACTTGTACATGGGAAACGGAGATGAAGCGTTCCGAAATAAAGCTCTTTGTTAGGAAGAGGAAGCAATTTTGTGGCTTTGTCGAATTGCTATCATAATGTCGAAAACCATCATGTCGAAAACCATAATGTCGAAACTCGAATTTGTCGACATTTTTAGCATCGGTTTCGGCGGGTTTTGCCGTGAAAAGTACCTTATGTAAATTTCGACATTCTGAATTTCGGCATTATGATTTTCGAAATTTGAAGGAAACCCGGGCATGAAAAAGGCTTGTCCGCCACGCACCTTTCTGCCATTAAGCCTGCCGGGTTGGAATTCGATAAATTCCATATTCATTGAACCGTTGAGGGCCTTGAATATGCGCACCATCTCGAGGTTCGTCTTCAAAGGCACGTCGACGCCGGATAGGTACTGAAACAACAGTCGGTTGACCTGCGCGGGAGGGTGACTAGCTAAGTGGTTTTTCACTATCCCTAAACGTGAAAACTTTACAAATTTTTTGTTAAAAAACATCGAAAAAAGATTTTTCGAGAAAAATGCCGATTTCTCACCAAATGGTCTACTTGTTTTAGAGTTTTTAGAAAATAGTTTTGAAATATAGTTAAATATTACTAGAAATACTATAAAAACAGTTTCTATTAAGTTGCTAGTCATTTCTAGGTTTTTACAAAAATTTCGTGTCCCCAAAAAACTGCCTCCCCCACCGATAATGCGAAAGAACCGAATATATGGTAAGATACCTGATAATATTTCCATTGATTTTGCGAAGCGGCAGCATATTTGAGGCAGGACCAGACGGCCGTCACGATGCCATATTCGCCCCAGCCGATCCTTGGGATTTCCTGGCGCCAAGATCATCAACCTTCATTAGGGTCAGCCATACGATGATGTGAATATTCGAAAAACAGCCCCCCACATTCCGCATCAACGTTTTAAACGTTTCGTTCGCATGACCGTCCATCGCGATGCAATACAGATTTTGGGGCTGGTAGAAGGCTGAGAGCATATGGAGAACCTGAATTCATAGGTTAGGCTTAGGCTTAGGCTTAGACTTAGGCTTAGGCTTAGACTTAGGCTTAGGCTTAGACTTAGGCTTAGGCTTAGACTTAGGCTTAGGCTTAGGTTAGGCTTAGGCTTAGGCTTAGGCTTAGGCTTAGGCTTAGACTTAGGCTTAGGCTTAGACTTAGGCTTAGGCTTAGGTTAGGCTTAGGGTTAGGCTTAGGCTTAGGCTTAGACTTAGGCTTAGGCTTAGACTTAGGCTTAGGCTTAGGTTAGGCTTAGGCTTAGGCTTAGGCTTAGGTTTAGGCTTAGGCTTAGGCTTAGGCTTAGGCTTAGGTTAGGCTTACGAATAGACAAAGAAACCTAGTACGTTAATAGACAGTGTTTTAATAATATTTTTAGTAATATACAACTTTATTACACCTGGAAAAACTATCTAAAAAAAAGTCGAAATTTTGGTCAAAAATCAGTCTTTTTGGACGAAACATCGACATTTTATCTTTTTCAATACAAATTTGTAAAGTTGGGTGTAGGAATAGTCAAAACACTATTTAAAAACACTGCCGCTATTTATATTTGAAAAGTGAGATCCTAAGAAAAAATTGATCATCCACCCCTTCCCCCCAATAATGCGAAAGATCCAAAAAAAGAATACCTGCATAATGTTCTTGTATACCACCAGACCATACGCGAGCGGGAAATCGGCTTCTTCGCGGCTCAGCGGCCGTTCTTGGAAATGGAATTGGGTTTTGAAGGCGGTACATCTTAAGCATTAGAGTAAGCAGCATTCCGGCCATAATCCCGACAGGCCAAAATGCCGACAGGTCAAAATCACAACATATGCTTGAAGGGATTTGAAACTTCATAATCTTGACAATTCCTAGCGTCGAAATTTCATAATGTCGAAATGTCATAATGTTTCAATTTCATAAACTCGAAATTCAGAATGCCAATTTTTTGCATATGTCACCACATTTTTTTTGCAAATGTCGACATTCTGAATTTCGATAATCTGAAATTTCGGCATTATGATTTTTGACAACTTGATAGAAAGCCGTTTAGGCTAATGCCACTGCCTCTTAAAGGGCTATTTTGGTTGTCGGTATTTATTTTGTCAAGCCATCGACATTATTGTTGTCGGGATTTTGTTTTGTCGGTAATTTGGCCGTCGGGATTTTGGCGTCTTCTCGAAACTAAGCAAAATCGCAAACCTGTCATCAGCATCCAATAAAATACCCGTGTGATAATGATGATCATATGCCTAAATAAGCGCAGTATTAGCTCGAAATTTCAAATGGTCGAAATTCAGATTGACAAAATTGACATAAGTTAATTTTCCTAAAGACCCCCGAATCCTTGCAAAAAATGTCGACATTCTGAATTTCGGTATTCGGAAGTTTCGACATTCTACATTTTCGACATTACGAAATTTCGACAAATTTCGACTGGATAATAGAAAAACCTCTTACCCAATCCTTGTAGAAAGCGAGCGCATGCTGATCACCCTCGAAGAGGCCATCGCAGTCCAGATCGATACGGTCGAGAAGGGTGAAGCGCATTGGTTCGTCCCTCTCACATCTCTTGCCGAAATGGGTCCTAAAACTATTGCTTTATCCGTTTTTTTTGACGATCGCAAGGCACGGGTGTAGCTTACTGCATGATTATCAGATTTTTAATAAATCACCCTAAGCCTAAGCCTACGCCTAAAGCCTAAGCCCTAACCTAAGCCTAACCTAAGCCTAAGCCTAAGCCTACGCCTAAGCCTAAGCCTACGCCTAAAAGCCTAAGCCTAACCTAAGCCTTAGCCTAAGCCTAAGCCTAACCTCAGCCTAAGCCTAACCTAAGCCTAAGCCTAAGCCTAAGCTTAAGCCTAAGCCTAAGCCTAAGCCTAAGCCTAAGCCTAAGCCTAACCTAAGCCTAAGCCTAACCTAAGCCTAAGCCTAAGCCTAAGCCTAAGCCTAAGCCTAAGCCTAAGCCTAAGCCCAGCCTAAGCCTAGGCCTATAATAAGAGACACTTACATCATTTCATTGTAGTAGGCGCGGAACGAAAGCCACAACAGAATCAACCCGAGCACGACCAGTAACCGCTTCTGCCATCGGTATGCCGTCGACCACATATGCTAAAATGTTTGTAAACAGGCACTTTAGAGATTTTAAAGACATAGACATGCCTTTCTTCTACGGGCTGTCGCAAAAACGATCATGATTTTTAGTTACAAGGAGACGACTTTAGTGACAATCAAGTTCGCCTACGAGGTTAAGCTTATCTTGTGCAGAATTTTGCGCTGATTTCGTGCCTGTCATCAAAATCTGCAAAGCACCCAGATTCAAAAAGTTAAGCAGCTTTTCAGAGCGATAGGGGATGGAAAGAGCACCCAAAGAGCATCTTTTTTTGCACAAGATTGGCTAATTATTTTCAACAAAATCCTTTCTCTCGAATTTTTCCACCTCTAAACGGCTCTAAACGTTGCGATTTAGAGCATTTTCGCCCTTAAATGCGCTGTAACTTTTTGAAAATGCCGAAAAATGAAAAACAGAAACTCAAAACTTTGAACTTTTTGAAACTCAAAAACGTCTCCGAGTTGGTCCCGTGCAGAAGCTCTATTGCCACCAAAAAACGTCTCCATGTAAGCGCATAGCTTTCTGGTTTTCATACTTACAAAATGACATTGAAAACCCATGCGTCGCGCTATTGCAGAGGCGTGGCCAATTGGTCCATTAGAAATCCTTGTTAAAGTCGAATCGATCTGGCACAGAAGCGCCAAATAATTTTTCCGGAGTGCACAATGGTGTCTGCCGTCCGGGAATCATGCCGACATGCCTCCAAAAAGCGACCGAACAATTCCCAAAACTTTTATTGCCCCGGCGCTGCATGAGTGTCCGTATTTGTTGATGTGTGGCAAATATCCGGCATCATGCCCGTCAAACGACAATCGAAACGGGTTGTTTCATTTTGCCGAAATACACTTTGTCGAAAATCATAATGTCGTAATTCAGAATGCCGAAATTCAGAATTTCGAAATGCCTTTTTCGAAAATCGTAATGTCAAAAATTCTTTGCGTCGAAATTCCCAATGTCAAAGTTTCATAATGTCGAAATTCAGAATGTCGCAATTTCAGAGTCGAAATTCACATAAACTAATTCTCCCGGAAAACCCCCATGCAAAAAATATCTGACGTTCTGAATTTTGGCATTTTATCCGCGAAGGGGGGGCTTTTTAAAGGGATCAGGAAGGCGCAGGAAAAATTTGCATAAATTCGACTTTGGTTCTCAAATATTGTTAAACTTAGCCCCGTCGATCCTACTATATATAAAAAAATAGTGTTTGTGTGTGTGTGTGTGTGTGTGTGTGTGAATTTGCATGCAACTTCCGTCCGTATGTTCCAGTCGTATCTCAATAAAGGAAGGAGTTAAAGGCACGTATGATACGTCATTAGGTGCGTAACGGTCATGACACGACTGCACGCATATAAAATTTTTCAAAATCGGCTTCTTTAAATCGGCATTAAAAATAGGTTTTTGTGAAAATCGCGCTCGGCCTCTTTGTTAGGAGTCAATTTGCATGCACCGGAAATGGGGAGAGCCTAGATAATGGGGGGAGAGGAGGCGTCTTTCATTTTTTCCCCAGGAATTCAGGAGTTTATGCAAAGTGCTGAAGCATGAGGGTAAGACGGGGGCCAGGGTTGAAAAGTCGCGAAGCGGCTTTTCAACCCTGGTTAAACAATAAAATAATATCTTGCAGCTCTTGTATTCTAAATTGTGACGTTTTTGAGAGTCAAAATATGGTTCCGTCGATTGGCTATACAAAAGTGAAAGTTGGGTTAGCGCGTTTTCCATCGTACATAATAATAAATAATAATTTATTCAACACTAAGGTTTCAATGAGAAATCTCATTTAATTCTCTGCTGTTTGGAATTAATGTCGGTGCCGTCACGAGGCATCGACAGATTGTAAGGATTTTGGGTACTTCCCTTTTAACGGGGGGGGTAAAGGGATCAGGAAGGTACAGGCACAGGCAAACGGTTGCCAATTATGAATTAGCCCTGATTGAACGAGTTTGGGGGAACCTCGTAAAAATCAATTGCCTTGATCTCGAATCCTCGAATTCCTAATACAATAAAAAAAGAAAAAGCTGTGAAACGTCTAAAAATGACTGAAAAATGTTGTGATCCGCCACCAACTTTCTCCCTATGCTAATTTATCCCCCGATTCGGCAGTCAGGCAAAGCCAGCGTGTGCGATGATTGAACCAGTTAGTCTTCGCACAACTAGGAATGTACGAAAAATATCGATTTTTCGATCGAAATGGCCGATTTTTGACCAAAATCTTGATTTTTGTTAAGTTTTCAGATAGTTTTTCTGGTTTAAATATAGTTATCGATTACTAAAAACTTTATAAAAAGACTTTCTATTAAGTTGCTAGGCATTTCAAGAATATAAAAAACCCCCGAAATACTATGCAAAAATGTCGACAGATTCGATCGCTTTTTTCGGCAACTTTCCGACTGATACTTGCCCAATCGCTAGAGCCCCAATGCTGACCTTCCATTGCGACACCGAACATCGAATCGTCGCCGAAATCACAAACAGTTCCTCCACAACTGCCGGTGGTTTTGCGAAATTCTCCTTTTGCATCATCGTTTCACAGTAGCCGCTGAGTTTTCGCGCTGTTACAAGCAGATGGGGCGTTCGCTCAATTAAGGTTGATTTTGCATGGCATTACAGAATATCATAGTCAAAATAATCAACGAAATTACGGCTGTAGAGCAAATATATTGTTGTCAATTCAATGGCCCAAGCCTAAGCCTAGGCCTAAGCCTAAGCCTAAGCCTAAGCCTAAGCCTAAGCCTAGGCCTAAGCCTAGGCCTAAGCCTAAGCCTAAGCCTAAGCCTAAGCCTAAGCCTAAGCCTAAGCCTAAGCCTAAGCCTAAGCCTAAGCCTAAGCCTAAGCCCAAGCCTAAGCCTAAGCCTAAGTCAAGCCTAAACTCTTCTTCCGCTTTAAAAAATATCGGCTTTGCAAGGGCAGCAGACCTCTTCCGGTAGAGCGCTCAAAAATCATGCCAGGGGGGCGGGGGCAAAAGTAGGGCCCTCGCCCGTTGTTCGCCAAGGCCTTGGCAATGGAGCAGGAGTTGGAATTGGTGAGCACGTTGTCCATAGCCCACCCTCTTCCCGTGCATTCATAACAAAATAGCAACATGACACCCGAGCCTGACCTTGCAGTACCCCCTTCACTAGCCGTCGACTATCAACCGATCCAACGTCGTCGAAAACTGGCGTAATCTCCCCCCGCTAACAGTCCAGAACCCGTTTCGGCTGTAAATTTTTCGTTTCTTCGACCAAGCGGAATTCCAGCCATAATGCCGACAGGAGAAATCCCGACAACCCAATAATTTTCGGTCTTTTTACCGATAAAGGTTTTAAAATCTGAAATTTCTGGTTGTCGGTATTTTGAAGTCGGGATTTCGGCTGTCGGGATTTTGAATGTCGGTATTTCGAATGTCGGGATCTTCGGTTTCAGGATTTTCGCTGTCGGTATTATGGCGTTTTCCCAAACAAAAACACCCACACTATAACGGATGACGTGGAATACGGCGATGTAAGATGGAAGATCAACGAATAGTGCAGGCGCCGGGCTTCAGACTGGCCACCCTGGCGTTCCCCGCCGTTCCCACAAAGTTACAGCTTTTCCCGCCGGCAGGCGGAATCGGGAAACGCGAATCTTTTCCAGAATGGGAATTCTTTGTAAGCCATAAAAAGTTTCCAAATTTCTGCCCAAAGACGTGGCGACATTTGATTGCTATGATTTTTGAACAAAAACCATGATAGACCTACCTCCGCATCCTGGGCATCTACCGGCACGTAGACGACCATCGCTACCGATCGTGAGGGGCTAACTGGATCGACGGTGCAGACGACGTTTCATCATTTCATCTGAAGAGAGACGTGACACTTCAACAATCAGTCATCAAAAAGAATTACAAAGAAAAAGCTGGTCAGCCAGAGTGCATAGAAAGAGAGAGAGAGCGCGCGAGAGTTAGAGATAGAGATATATATTTAGAGAGAGAGAGAGAGAGAGAGAGAGAGAGAGAGAGAGAGAGAGAGGGCGAGAGAGAGGGAGGGAGAGAGCGAGCGAGAATGTGTGAGAGATGCATATTGGGTGATGCCACCAAAGGTGCAAAGTGCTCGGCGCGACTTTTTCTTTAGGACGTCCTTCCGAAATGCGAGCCAATTACATCTTCCAAAATTCTGCCCAGGGCACATGATCGAAAACCTTTTGTTTTTCGAGAGCGGCTTATTTGCAAAATGTCGACAATCCTAATGTCCAAATTTCAGAAGGTCGCCATTTTTGCATAGGACTCGGGGGGTTTTCCGGGAAGATTAGTTTATGAAAATTTAGACATTCTGAATCCTCGAGATTATGACACTTCGACATTTCGAAATAAACCCAATAAAAAGTGGCATCTACACGCGCTTTTCGTGTTCCCGAAAATTGAAAACCTATGACCTTGGTGTTGGGTGA